AGTATATCTCCCATGCACAGATGCATTGTTTTTTTCAAAGGGTGAATGAGATTTTTAACTCATGTAAGAATAACAGATCAATCTGCCCACACTAATATTAAAATAAAATTAGAGCGCTGTATAAGAAACCTTCCTACAATTTACACCATGGGAAAAAAAAAAAAAAGATAAATGAATCAAACTGAAACAGATCAGTTTTGAGATTTTCCGTAGAGCAGTCTTAAACTTCAGCATGGTGGAGGTGGGATGTCAAAGAGCAAATCTGAGGCGTTCTGGTATCTCAGAAGGAAGTGTGGGAGCAACACTTGGAAATGAGCTCTGAGAGGGCAAGGGAAGTCTAAGAAAAACTCAGATCCCAACATGCAACAAGATCTGTGCAGGAGGACACAGCTCTACAGTGTTCAGCATGGGAGCAGTGCCCACCCCAATGAAGATAATTATAACAGTAAGGCATACATTTGCTTTCCAATTGTAATAGCTTTAAATTGATCAGCAAGAGCTGATAATTTTCTGAAGAACTGTTAGAGAAAAAAAGATAAGGGGTTAGGGTTTCCACCTCCCCTCATCCATCACAATTCACTCACCTATGACTTCAACACAGTGCTTGTAAATGATTCATATGGGCCTGGCTGTGAGTGATTGGGCTCTGAGGTAGATAGAAGTAATAGGAACGCGTTTTACAGTCAGCCCTGCAGAGGGGCAATGATAATGGCAGAAGATAAATGTCTGTGTGCTTTCCTTGTGTCTTACTGAAGCACATATCTATACAGCAAAGACAGCAGCAGCTGCACTACCCAGTATGGTGCCATAATAAAATGATTATACAGGTTCAGCCTCCTCCATGAAAAGCACTAAGCAGTGTTATACAATATTGACACGCAGGGTTCCTGAATTTTCAGGAAAACTTTCCATCAGCAGTGTTAATTTTGACAGAAGCCAAATTTATGCACTTAGGCTGAATTTCCATTCAAATTCTTGTCCACCTCTGAAAAAGTATCTAGTCTTGAAAATATAATATTAAAATAAATATCACTTTAATTCATTTTTCTCCATCCTTAATGCTGAGATTGATTTCCTGCTGGAATGTTGCTTTACATGAATACTTACATGATTTATGTGACTTGCTTAGGTAAAACTTATGGGGTCTGTTACGTTGGTGCACCTGATTGTGTTTTTAAATAGTTAAATATTATAAGTATAATGCAAATATAACTATATAAAAGACATATAATGAAACAAAACTGGTCATATTTCAAAGTAACAGCTGCTTCAGCTGGGTTTCTTCAGGGAGAACAGTGTTGTCACATCTTCAAAGCAGTCTCTACTGATAAGCCTGTTTACCTCCTTTCACAAATTGCTTTATGTTTCAGGGACTGTCCTTCAAACAGACAATATTTGCACATGCTTATCTTCAGAATTTTAAAATCTCTGTTGTTTATAGATCTAAAAGAGTTTTACTAAAGCACTGGATAACATAAACACGCTGATTTTTTATTTTGATTCCTTGCCAATATGTGACTGCTCCAGGCAGAACTTGCATACTCTTAGAAAATGAAGTTGGCAGACAGTTGATAAATGCTTTGGCTTAAAATTTGGAATGGTCTCTTAACTCATGGCCATGACTTATTTCCTAGATTGGAGAGAATAAATAAGGCAAATTTAAAGAGCTGCCTACTGGGGACTGACTTGCACCTGTCCCTGTGGGATGATGCCCACAAATAGTCTGAAGCCATTGCTCTTGAGAGACTTGGCACGCCTACAAAAGCATATCCAAATGCCATGGCCTGTCACAGTTTAAGAGGACACCTAATTAATGGGCAGACCTTATTATGAATATTGGTAAAAGGAAAGGGAGAGAGAGGAAAGATCATCTGACTGATTATAATAAATTACAGGAAGTAATTAGGTGAGGGAGAGTTACTCATTAGTTACCAGAAGAACGAAAGGCCATTAAAGTTAAATGCACTGATAAAGGTCTTTGGCATCACAGTCTTATTCTAGTCATCCACTGGGATCAGCTAACAGAGTGCCCATGATCTAGTCTTCACCTTGTGAAATTTTAAACAGACCAAGATAAAGCTATCTCACAACAGCATGGCCACGTACCTCGAGAAGGATACAGCTGATGTGACTATATAGGACTTTGACTCTTCAGGAGTACAATAGAGGCCTTAAATCATTAGTTATGGAAGTCTATTTCTACAGTGACAAATTCCATTAGGCTGAAGTGCTCCAATAAACTTCTCTAAGCTGAGTGGTGAGTTTAATTTGGTGATCCTGTTTGCTAAGAGCATTTTGTGAGGCTCCACTCTTATCAAGTCAGGAAATTTCTCACTTTAGTAATCTAATAATCTTAAAATATCTCAGAGCATTTGACCTGAAATAAATCAGCCTGAGTGCTTCTGCACTGTCTTTGAAATACCTATTTACTTTAGAGACTACAGTGACAAAAATTGCAGAGCTGAGATTTTCTTAACATTGAACTGTTAGCCAGCTTCTGATCACACAGCTGCTTCTTCTTGTGTATGCTTTTTTTAACTGAAAGGTCCTATGTGTGTAAATTGCTGCTTTTTGGAAAGCACTTGAAGCAGAAACATTTTGCATTGCAGTCAGCTCACAAAGGTTTCTCAGAGAGGGCATCCACAGATCCCTGCCAGAATGCAGTCCATGGTTCATTTTCATTACTTAATTGCCTTCAATACTTCACACACTGGAAGTTACCTTGGGAGTAGACATCTTACTGTAGAGCTACTGCCGGTAGCTGCCCTGGTACTGTACTATTAGTCGCACCAGCACCACTACAGATAGTCTTGCCACTGGTAATGTACATAATACATGCACTGCCACCAGCTCAGGTGAGTTCCTGATCTACAAAAAATCTTTTGGAAGCAGCTAATCTCTTAAGCACAATTATATATATATAATATATATAAAATATATATTATATATTTATATATTATATATTTATATATTATATATAAAATATATATATTATATATATAATTACATATATATAATATAGATCAGGGTGATATGCATATATATATATATGTATATCACCCTGATCTACTGGCTGCAAATAGGCTAGGTGTGATGAAGAAGAACCACTGTGCAGCCAATACGAGTCACTTCTCCAGAGCTCATTCCTACTACAAACTCAAACTCAGTTAATGTGTAAGGCTTCAATACTGTTTATGTTCTGGTATTTGTTTCAGTATAAGTGTATGTGTTTTTTAGAGTCACTAACCTGTTTTGTAACACAGCAACACCATAATTGCTTTTCTATTAACTGTATTGTAAAGACATATTTAAAACAATCTAGTCTGAAAGAGAATAACAGTCTTTTAAAGATAAGCCTCTGAACACTTTTTCTCCAAAACACGTATCTTTTACAGGTTCAGAAATATTTTAGTTTTTTTTTTTCTTTTTTTTTTTTTGGTTGGCAGTCACAGAATGCCTTTTGATTACACTGTGTAATATCCAGTCAAATAACAGATCAAATAAAAGGGACACTTAATACACATGTAAATCATTTGAATTACAAATAAGACACTCTAGAAGGGGCTTGGCTCTAGGTCTGATACAGAGGATTAGGCTTTAGTATTAATACGTGCACTTGGTGTAGCTATTTTCAGAGGAATACTTCATCCATCATTGTCCTCGAGCACTAAGGAGGACCAGTAAGTAAAATGATCACTTTAGTCTGTCAACACTACTTGCTGAAGATTCAGTTGTGCAAAAAGTTTAATTTTCACATGTCCCAACCCCTATGGGGTGCTTCAACTGCCTAATGCTCCCGATAGTTGCTCTGCTCTTAGCTTCCACATATATAGAAAATATTTTAAATGCATCTCAAATAAAGCAAGTTCTATCAATAGGTCAGTTTTAAATCAGAAGTACTCATTCAAACTACATACGCGGGCTATCGTATCTTCCAAAAGTGGTGGGAAATAAATGTTACTTAATGATTTCTTTTCACAGTATCATCTTTTATCTTAAATTCAGTTTTGCATTTGGGAATGCATTAGGAAATCTATCTGCATACTTTCTTTGCCACTACTTTAATGCATGTACAGTTTGCCCATTTATGACCTTGTAGAAGCTGTGGATATCACCAATGCTAAACGGTAACCAAAATTTCTTACCAACACAACTAAACTAGAATGAAGACTTAATGAAGGGCTATAGAAGTAATGCAAGTGTAAGAGTCTTATTTAACTTAAATGTCCAAAATAGTTAAAAAAAAAAAAGTGGCTAGCCCTTAGGAAGTTGTGAACTAATAGTCTCTCAGTGTTTCACACATGTTTGTACAGCCTCCAATGTACATGATGTTGCATCTTGCTAGGGGACTATGTAATGAGTTTTTTTTACTGTCAACTCAATAGTACTAGAAAAGGGACTAGTATTACTGTTTTTATGTCTTTCTGAAACATAAAATAATGATTTCTGTAGTGTGGTAAAATGCATAATTCTAGTTCAATCTACATAGAAGAACTTACTACATTCTCCACTCTTGCATTCAAGAATGTATTTTCATTAGAAACCTAAAATTTTCATAAACATTTCTTCTCTGTTGAATTCCTTATGCAACTTAATTTTCAAGGGTAATGAAAAACATATCAAACATATCATGCTGCTTTTTTAAAGCATAATGAATGCATGTACCCTGTTTTCCAGAGTCTAGATACCAGTAACTGCACTTCAAAAATTCTAGTCAGCACAGTATGTGCTCAACCAAGTAGTTTCTCAGTATCTCTGCAAAGCCATTATCTAGTGTCTAAAGTAGTGGGAGTCAAAGCAGTTCTGTCTTACATCTGAAACTATTCTCAGTTTAAAAGTATTGATGATCTGCCTTGATGTAATGAGGTTATACAGTTATCACTATTAGATGTCATTTGTTGCTGAAATGTTCAAGACGATCTAAAAAGCATTTTGCTCTTGTGTGTGTACTCATAATTCCTATAATTAAGAAATGTTCTGGTAATATTTGTTATGCTTACCATCTTTCTTGGTGGGTTCCGGCATTGTTATGAAGTTTCTTTATTCCTAGGGAGTTTCAGCCTTTCAGATGCAGTAAGTAGTAGCCCCAAGTCCAGCTGAGAGAGTGTGCAGATCAGTATGACAAGCAGAGGGTGAGAAGAATTCCTCTGCTTTATATACTGCAACTGAAATATCAATCAAAATAGCACCTCCTCTCTTTTCAATGCAAACACTTTGAAAATTGACAGTTATGGGAACCCCTCTCACATCTGTTGTCTACAGCCTCTGCTCCCTTGGCTTTTGGAAGGAATCTCTGCTGCATTGCATGGGGCTGATGAGAACATCTATAACTTTCTAAATTCAGCTGCAGTACTCACTCTCTGTATCCCTCTTTGTAGCGTGCAGACATGCATACACACGCAGACAGAGGTTGAAAAGTGACTGCCAAGCTATTAAAGAACCCATTCTGCCTGCAGAACTTATAGGGACATCTTGAATACTTTAATCCCATTTTCCACAATATAAGAGGGACAAATAAGTACGAGCAGAATGCTTTCAGTTAAACCTCACATCCTTCCTTGGAGAGAAAGTGGGATGCAGAAATGAAGTAGTGAATAGGAGAGAACCTTGTGGTATTAATGAAGTAAAAATGATTATTGTGCTCCTATTTGGAGCAATGAAGACCCTCCATGCCTCCATTCTGCTTATATTGCTACACTTTCTGGGGTCCTTTCCTTGTTTAAGTGTTTCTAAGGAAGAGATTCTCATTTTGGCTTAGCTAGAACCCATATAATTAATTTCAGCACTACTACCTCACTAACTGGAATTGTCACTGCTGGGAGATACCTTCTCCTTTCCATCCATCCAGGAGATGAAGTACTCTTTGCTTTTGACAAGCCAGGGAACATGATAGAAGGAATGCAAATCCAACCTCAGCACACGCACTGAGGTCTTAAACTCCTACTCTACTTAAACTGTGAATTTGTAGACAATAGAAATACAGGTCAAGTTCATCAGAGGGGACTAGGATTTATTTTCTTGCACACTTTTAGAATTTCAAGACAAAATAGCAGTGCAATAGCTAAAGGGATTGTGAAGGGTTTCATGTTATTAATATACAGGTATGTGTCCATACCATGATTGTGTGTTTGTAAGAAGTAGGATACAGACAGCCTGTACACTGTCTAAATACACTAAAATGTTATATAAACCATACTTTACCTCTTTGAGGTAGATGAAAGAGTAGTTATTTAGAGATGAAAGAGTAGTTATTTGCCTTTTTATTCTCTATCCAATTCATGATTGCTTCCTGTACTAGGCTTTCAGATATTTAGCCATTTAACATATATCATAAGTAATCATTTCATTTCTTTCTTTAAAATATGAGATTTTCATATCATATTTCTCCATATCAGGATTTTTTCTGCCATACTCACTGTGGTGCTTTATTATTTGACTAACTAATATACCTGTAAAACAGAGAGAAATGCAAAACTACTGCCTACACAATCCAACTCAAGCAGTACTAAAGGCTTTTTCCCCTTGGTTTCATATTACTGTTTAGGTAAGCCTCCTTATATCATTGAAATAATCCCTGTCCTTGGAAAACAAACAGGATGCCTTAAATAGTTAACAGGGGATTTTGTATGTCAGTATAGGATTGTTGTGGCACCAGGAAATGAGTGCATGCACAGGCCTAATAATACTGCAGATACCATTTTTCACCAGGGAAAGGAAGCCATGCAGAGGCACCTAGACAGGCTGAAGAAATGGGCCCATGTGAACCTAATGAAGTTCAACAATGCCAAGTACAAGCTGTTGCACTTGGGCCAGTGCAATCCCAGGTATTTATGCAGACTGAAGGAAGAACCCTTTGAAAGCAGCCCTGCAGAGAAGGACTTCTATTGCCTACAAATTGAACTTGGAGAAGAGAAGGCTGTGGGGAGACCTCATTGTGGCCTTGCAATACTTGAAGGGAGCTTATCAACATGCGGGGGAAAGGCTGTTTACATGGGTTGACAGTGATAGGACAAGGGGGAATGGTTTAAAACTAAGACAGGGGAGTTTAGGTGAGATAATAAGAGGAGGTTTTTCACACACAGGGTGGTGACACACTGGAACAGGTTGCCCGAGGAGGCTGTGGATGCCCCATCCCTGGAGGCATTCAAGACACAGCTGGATGTGGCTCTGTGCAGCCTGGTCCAGTGGTTGGCAGCCCCAGGGGGATTGAAACTAGGTGTTCTTTAAGGTCCTTTTCAACCCAGACCATTCTATGATTCTGATTTTTTTCCTGTGCCCCTTTTGTTCTGACCCCATCCAGGCACTGAACTCTACATTGGATGGAATCAGAGGCAGATGAAGTGCAACTGCTGATTCTCTCTACCATACTATTTATTGAGCAACTCTCTGTAAGACATAATGACACTTTTCTTTTTGTTTCACCTGCCATATGTCACAGAGTCCTGTGAACTATGTTTTTGGAGATTCCTGTTAATATAAACAATAAATACAGTTACAGAGTAGCACAAGGTGGGATACAGAGAGGACATCTCAGTTTCACAGTGAGAAAGGATCAAAGACCAATGCATACTCTTAGATACCTGGAGGAATAGGAAGAAAAGTATTCCAGAAAATGATACTCAGTTCAGAGAAGATCTTTATACTACTGAACAAGACCAGCCACTCACTGGCTCTGACACCAAGTGAAAGAGCATAGCTCTCATCTATAAAGCACAAACTTCCTCTCTATCCTTAGAAAAAGCAGAGTAAAACAAAAATTTTCACAGGGAATGGTTGCTGCCATGTTTCTGAGCTATGCTTAGGCAGAGATGGAAGAGTACTAGTTGGCATAAACCAGCAGGAAGCATACTAACAGTCCCCACAGGGGAACATGTCAACCGATGCTCTGGTATACATTCTAGCCTGAGTATAATGAGGGCTAGAGGAACTGAAATGGCTCTATGAGATCCATTAGGCAGCAGAGGAAAAAGATGGGTTGTGTGTGAGAAAAAAATGATATTATTATAGTTGCATTTGTAGGACATGTACTTCTTCAGTTACATTGAGAGTACAAGCAAAAGCCTTTCAACTTTCAATAAATTGAAACAGTGGAGCAGAAACCACCTGAAAATCTGTTCGCCATTTCACTCTTTCCTAGCCTTACTTTATAGCTGTATAACTCATTTTATCTTAAAGCCAGCCAGGTTTCTGTAGTGTAGCGGTTATCACGTTCGCCTCACACGCGAAAGGTCCCCGGTTCAATCCCGGGCAGAAACATCATTTTCCCTGCCCTTGGTAGGTGGGGTTCAAACTGGTTGATTCTGTGTTACATTCTCTTCTACTCTGACCAAAAATCCCAGTGATGCAACTTTTCTATAATCTAATTTGAATCCCATTTTAAAAACCCACTGGACTAGATTTAGGCTGTGATGCCTCAGTGTACCTTAGCAATAGTTATGGCAGGGAAAACAGTTAATTTCATAAGAAAATAATAAACCATATTTTATTTGTTTCAGACTAACTCCTAGCTGAAAACATGCCTTAAGCACCTGCAATGCTTCATACAGAAAGAGAAAACAAGGCTCACGTGTGTTTTCCTCTAATGCCAGAAGAAAATATTAAGTCTTTCTGGACCATTGTCAGTCAGTAGTGGCTACAGTTTTCAGGTACTTCTGATTTACTTTTTGAAGTCTCTTTGGACAGCCACAGCACTAAGAATACTGATTTATTTTATTTTATTTTATTTTATTTTATTTTATTTTATTTTATTTTATTTTA